TTTTTGGTAGAGACGGGGTCTCGCTCTTGCTCAGGCTGGTCTCGAACTCCTGAGCTCAGAATGATCCGCCCGCCTCGGCCTCCCAGAGTGCTAGGATTACAGGCGTGAGCCACCACGCCCGGCCCATAATTTGCTTTTGCACAGTTTGAGTCAAAGCTATAAATGTGCCCTTCACCCAGCTAATGTGCATTGTACCCATTAGGTGTGAATTTACCCATCCCTCCATCACCCTCCCACCTACTTAATCTCCCTTGAGTTTTACTTCCATATGTGCACATAAGTGTTGATCAATTGGTTCCAATTTAGTATTGAGTACATGTGGTGTTTGGTTTTCCATTATTGCAATACTTCACTAAGTAGAATGGTCTCCAGTTCCATCCAGGTTGTTACAAAAGATACTAGATCACCATTTATTTGTATGACTGAGTAGTGTTCCATGTATATATATACTGCATTATTAGTCCATTCATATATTGATGGGCTCTTGGGTTGTTTCCACATTTTTGTGATTGTGAATTGTGCTGCTACAAACATTCAAGTACAAGTGTCTTTTTTATAAAATGTTTTTTTCCTTTGTTTAAATACCTAGTAGCGGGATTGCTGGATCAAATGGTAGGTCTACTTTTGGTTCTTTGAGGTATCTCCATACTACTTTCCATGGAGGTTGTACTAGTTTGCGGTCCCACAGACAAAACAGTATATAAGTGTATCATTCTCTCCACATCCTCACCAGCATCTGTTGTTTTGGGACTTTTTGATAAAGGCCATTCTCACTGGAGTTAGATAATATCTCATTGTGGTTTTTATTTGCATTTCCTTGATGATTACAGATGTTGAGCATTTTTTCATGTATTTGTTGGCCATTAGTCTATCTTCTTTTGAAAAGTTTCTAAAGTTCATGTCTTTTGCCCACTTTTTAATGGGTTCATTTGATTTTTTCTTGCTGATTTGCTTGAGTTCTGTGTAGATTCTGGTCATCAGCCCTTTATCAGATGTATAGCATTTTAATTAACTAATATTTGTATTAGACTTATAGGATATTCACATAGCTTCAAAAGGTTAATGTTATTTAGTGCATTCTAATTCATGACTACCCTTATTTATTCTGATACTCAAATTTTCCATTATTTGGCCAGTGGGAGCCCCTTCAAACTGGTTTTTGTATATGTTTAATAAGCCTCCATTGTTCCTTGAGCATTTCTTTGATTTTGACACAGGAAGTTCAATGCTCATCTTGTATTTTACCTGCCACAGACCTAGAATCAACCATTTCTCCAAATGGAGCCCTAGTTCCTTTCAGTAAAAAATGGTATGTAGAAACCAAGACCTGGCTGCTAGGTGTGCTCATTGTTATTCAGCTGTTATCTCCCCCCCAGGCCCTCTCAGTGGACACAGACAAAGAATACACACATTCACACAGACACACTCACACACCTTCTCTCTTTCTCACACACACATACACACACACACCCCTACTCCTGGTTTCCGTTATCTTTAATTTGTAACTTAATGGGTCAGTCCCCTCTACATAATTCGTCCCTCTCCACTGCCACTCCCTCACATGCACGATGCCCTCCTCCCCCCACTCTGGCTCTGACACCTGCTTCAGGCTGCCCCCCACTGCGTGGACCTTCCTCACCCTGCCTGGGCTCTGATGCCTTTCTCTGGATGACCACAGCACCTTTCCCACTCTAGTGCAGACACCTGCCTTGTGTTGCCCCACCTTATGGCTTTAAAACTGTTCTAGAGAGAAGGGAAAACGAAAGAAGATGACAAAGAAACTGTTTCATAATAGGCACACTATGGTTTTCATTCTTTATTCATGAATAAGTAGATATTCTTCCAAAGAGAATAATTTGAAGAAAAACCCCAATTTGGATATTAACAATAATAATAACAACATTTGTATAAACTTTATGTATTTGCTATAGTTTGGGTGTTTGTCCCCTCCAAATCTCATGTTGAAAGTTGACCCCCAA